GCCTCTTGCAACCGGAATAAAACGGAATACATGCATGAGGAGAAACACATGTTTTAGGTGCATCCGAAGCCAAAATCAAGGTCGGATGCACTTGGGAATTGGCCGTTTCTTTTTCTTTGAGTAGGGGCTAGTTGTGGGGCATTGGGGCTAAGGAATTGACCCCCATTGCAGTCCGAGTTGCAACGGACTGCATGGGGTAGAGAAAACACATGTTCTAGGTGCATCCGGAGCCAAAATTGAGCCCGGATGCACTAGAAAATTTAATGCTTCATATTCTTTTAACATGGGGCAAGTTGTGGGGCTGTGGGTATAGAAAACAGCCATGACTGCAGTCCGAGAAATTACGAACTGCATGGGGATGCCAAGGCCAAAGGAGAATGGGCTACGGCAAGCCCGGAAGGCTAGAAAGGGGCAATTTTGGCAAGGGGCAAGTAAAGACGGTAAAACGGCAAGCATGAGATTAGATCTCACGGCCTAGAAAAATCGGCACACATGTAGAAATGATGGGATCACCAAGGGCAATGGGCCCCAAAAAAATAAAAACGGGACGCGGTCCGGAATGTTGTCGAGGACCAAATGGGTCCAAATAATAAAAATCGAAAAAACGGGACACGCGCCGACGGAACCGCCGGCGGGACAAAGAAATGGAACTAGCATGTAGAAAATTGGCGGGGACTTGGGATGTCCTAAGGGAACCATGAGCAAACATAAGGAGTAATTGTGCAAGCAAGCGGCACCGTCGAGATCGAGGATCTAGACGGTGGAAAATATTAGCACCATTAGTGCAAGCACTAGTGGGAGCAAGTGGGAGAGCCATGGGAGAAAGAAAAGTGAAATAAGGGTGTTGGGAAGGCTGCCCAGCAGTCCGGGATATCTCGGACTAGCAAGGCATAAGAAAATAGAGCCTTGAGAGACCCAACATGAGAAAAAGGCTGCCCTTAGAAAATCAGACCAAAAAGGGCTCAAAATTGGGCAAACGGGAGCAAAATGGAACCCCCTAGGAGCATGGGGGTGCCATTATTGGAATCCGAGATGAAACGGTCATGCAAGAGTCATGAACCTGGCCTTGAATGAGGCCCTAGGGCCTAGAAAGAGGGTGCACAGCAGTTTGACACTTGTCACAACAAAAATAAAAGAAAAAGAAAGAAAAGTGAGAGAAAAAGGAGGGAGAATGAGACAAAAAGGGAAAAAAGAGTGGAGGAGAGTGTGCCGGCCTATTGGGACCTGCACAGTAGGACTGGCGCTGCACAGTAGGACTGGCAGGTCCCAACAGTAACCTCATCCCTCCTAGAATGAGGGAGGGCAATCCGGATTGCAGTGGGCCATATCTCAATAAAATCTGAATTAAAAAGTTGAAAATGAGAGAAAATGCAAAAAGGAAGTGGCCGTTTTTCTTTTGGGCCATGGATCTGAGATCAGATCTCATGGTAGAGAAGAACTAGCCGTTTTTTGTGGGCCAGCTCAAAACGGCTAGCTCCGGAATGAGGTGGTAGCCCAAAATGGAAAGAAAACAAAAAAGGGAAAAGAACAAAACAGTGCATTTGGCCCAAAAAGAGAGCCAGATGTACCAAAAATTGAAAAACTAGACTTAGGGGCTCAAAATTGAAGCAAGGGCTACTGGGGGTAGCTCGGATTATTGTTGGCCCTGGATCTCAGCCAGATCCAAGGCTGAAAGTGTGCCGCCATGTGGAAAAATGCTCCGGCCTACTCAAAAGAGGCCGAAAGGGAGGCCGGAGTAGGCCAAGAGGCAGTCCGAGTTGGTACCAACCACTCGGACTGCATGTACTTGGCCAAAATGAGGCCCAGGTACCTCCAGGAGGGCCTAGTAAGGGAATTTTGCCTTGGGGGTACCTCGGTTCACCTCAAGGCTCATGGGGAGGCTCATGGGCTGGCCGGACTGCTGGTTTCAGCCTACATAAGCTGAGGATGCAGTCTGCCACTCTCACATTTGCATGAGGAGTGCCCATGCTGCCCAAGTGAGCTCACAAGAGCACCTTTGCACTTGGAGTGAGAGGGAAGGAGCCCATGCTAGTGGGAGAGCTTAGAGGAGACTAGGAGGTAGTGGGGAGGACTCTAGAGGAAAGTGATGGTGGGAGAGACACTTGGAAGGTGATCCGCCATATCCCTCCTGGGCGTAGGAGAGAAGGAGAGGCTAGAGGAGCACCATTAGCCCTCCTAGAGGGGAGGACTCCATAGCCATAGCTGGGGGAGCTTGTCATAGCCTGAGAGAAAGCAAGGGAGGAGGAGAGAAGGGCTTGGAGAAGAAGGGAGTCATAGCCAAGAGGAGATTGTGCAAGCAGAGGAAGCTTCATCAAGAGGACACCAACATCAAGGAATCAACAAGGTGAGAGGAAGGAAGAGACTTCTTCACCTCCATTT